ATCATCATCATAAGGTCGTCAGTCCTAAGACTGGTTGGATATGTACCTCCACTCTTTCCTATCCTGAGCTAAACTTCGCATTTCCCTAAAACTAGAACAGCCCACATCCTTAACTAATTGCGAAGAGTAATCTAATCTAGGTCTACCTCTACCCCTCCTAACTCCTGTTTCATGACCTTCATGCCTGAGAAGGTGTCCTACCAACCTATCTCGCCTATTTTTTATTGACTTCCACAGAGTCCTCTGTACTCCTATTATTTCTAATACCTCTTCATTTCTAACCTTTTCTACCCACGATATCCTCATCATCCGCCTATAACACCACATTTCGAACGCAAGATCCTTATAAAAATTACAAATCATTCGAATTTTCACCATCCGTTCGGAAAACCCTCTCTTCCGGATAATCTATCGGCAATACACGTTAGCGATGAGCTTACCTGAAAATTGATAGGTTAACTTCACACTTGAGACGTTTACAACCCGAAATAATGGCAGAAATAATTTATTTACGATACGCCTCTATTATATTATCTCGGGCCATATATCATTCGTTGTTTTGTCAATGGACGATCGAAGTAGGCGCCTTCTCATATATGCCATGTACTTCACACCTCGTTTTATCAATGAAAGTTGTCAATGACTTCGGCAAACACGATGGGTCAACGAGGAGCCGGTTGTGAAACCGACAAACATCTTTACGAGATTCGAAAGTACGTTGCAGTTCATAAAATAATTATTAAAACTAAAAATACTACATCTACCAATCGTGTTTCACCTACAGGGATGGAAAAGTGATAAAAGCTGTAAAAGGAATTGTTGAAATTTAACCTGAAACCCTAGTCAAATGTTAGGCAACTTTTCATTATTTTCTTAGAATTAGAAGCAATAAGGGAAGACATGATCTATTGTAATTAGTCTAGAAAGAAAAGCGGATGTTACAACGAAGAAGAAATTTTTTTATAAATCTGAAAACTAACTAAAAGAACCTTGAACTGTTCTACTTTAAAAAAAATCACCTGTTACTTTAATATTGTGAGAAACTCAAACTGACTAAAAGCGAAAAATAAATTATGAAATATCATTAAAAAAAGTTTCCCAGAAAGAACTCGACGTCCTTCAAAAATTTGCAGACATTACCTACGTATATCTGACAATATGTCATGAATCTAATAAACGTAATAACATTTTTTTCTGTCAATAATAACACTGCGTAACCTTAGCATAGCCTTCCCTACCTTCTAATTTCAACCTACTCTTTCATTCATGCAATGTAATGGCTAATTTATCAATGAATACACTACAGGTAAGCTGTAAGGAGGTAGGTGTACTAAACTCGAGTTCTTGCATATACTATGTTCGATAATTTAACATCTGCCGCCAGATTGGTTTCAAAGGAAACTTTGCCCTAAATATACTAAAACTTTTAAAAGATCGTCATCGTCACGAGGTGTTTAATCTGAAGACTGGATTGACACCCATCTCCACTTTTTCCTAGCTTAAACCGATCTATTAATTTTTCCAAAACTTAGGACATCTACAACCTGACCTTGACCTCTTAACTCCTGATTCTGTTTCTAATGTTTCTAACTAGCCCTTTATGTCTTACTAATCTGCTTCACCTATTCCTTCCATGGCGCCCTCTGTTCTCCTACTCATTCTAATACTTCCTCATTACTATCCTTTTCTATTCATGGTGTTTTTAACATCGTCCTATAATACCATATTTTGCACCAAGTATCCTCTTTTATTAATCTTTATTGAATTCCCAAATTGTTAACCGATTACGAACACAAAATTAATTCCAACGCAGGTCTATATTAACAACTTTTCGTATAATATTGAGTGATTACGTATACATAGATCAATCATTCAACGACATACGACACATCATTCGTATTGCCTCATATTGGAATGTACGTTATGCAAAAATTAAACTTAGTTCTTCTACGTTCACTCAACTTAACCACATACGCTTAAGACGGTCTAGAGCATAATTTAGATCTACTATTGCCGATACTTTTTAGATTGGTTCGTATGGACTATGCCGATGACGTCAACGCAATCTATCAATGATTGTACAGTACCTATACATATTGCGAAGCTTAAAATCGCATTGTGGATCCTAAATTATTTGCTCGTGTTTACATTAGCAGATCGTTTATATACTTAAGTTGCGATCGTGCTTGACACGAGCAGTCGTTTTGAGTAGTAACCCGTTTACACACTTTGTTGCAGGGGTCGTGGGCGGACATGCGAGGACAGCCACCGTGGACCGTGGAGCAGTGAGCGCGTACCACGCTGACAGAGGCGCCTGCGATTCCATTAACCCCAAGGACATTCGCGGTTAACACTTCCTCAAACATTACGATCGACGGCGACTGTATCTCTTTTCGCTACGTCCAATGTACAGTTCTTGACAAAATTAACGATACGAAATAGCAAATTAGTTAATTTAGAGTTTTGCCAATTTTTATTTTTGTTCCTGCCTCTTACAATTTTTCCAAATCATACGATTTTTTTGTATATTTAGAAAATTCGATCGTTAATTGTGTGACATACCGTACATAACTTTTTGGAATCGAAATCGTTAACATTTTGTCTAAATTTATCAAAAATAACAACTGTCTCTATTTACGTAAGAACTTTTAAACTGTGNTTTTTAATAAATACAGCCACATATTAATTACGATTAGTGTAACTTTTATTTTGATTAATATAGTAAATTTGATTGATAATTGAAAACAATTGTTGTAAAGCTATTTGTATTTGCATTGTCTATATTACGAACCAATTTTACACTGCCTTTTAAGGTGATGGTCAAGTTAAAACGAAAAAGTTTAATTAATACATTACAACTTTATTTCTCTAAAAGAAAGGATGTTGTCAGACAAAAAACTAATTTAAATAATCATATTTACCTTGCTAATAATTATATTCCACCAACGCTTTAGTTATTCTTTGACTACTACTATATATAATACATTCTTTAAATAAATGTGACACTAAATAAACTGCCTGTGCGTCCCTCACATTCTTATTTAGTTGATAACAACATTTAAAATGTCTAATGTAAAACAATTACAAATACGTAAACTTTGATACTATTTAATTAACAGCATTGTAATAACTCTGTCTCTTTGTTGTGTGTTTATTTTGAATCATCTTAAAAGTTTTATTTCTGAATTGCTTTCGATTCCTAGTCGTTAGAGCATTGCTCACATATTTTCGTATGTTAGTTTTCGGTGACATTTTACAAGTCTAATATAAATTACAATAAGACCAAAAGCTACAATTTCCATGCTACTTCGTATTGTTTTAACTGCGGCACAATTTCTGTTCTTCATGCGGCATGTTCTAAACTTTGCCTTTAGGACTGACGCAGTACAAATATTGCAGCAAGTTTCCTACTTTACCATTTTCTCCTTCCATCTGCGGCATCTTATTATTTTCTTTGAAAAATATAACAAAATTGTTGGGAATTCATAAAATATTACAACATCTGCGGCTATTTTCCTACTACGTGTTCGTTCCCACTTGAAGGTTTTGAATATTTTTTTTTACAATATAGAAATCCTGAATGAAATGATCCAAAATTTTTGAACTGTCTCCCACTGCGGTTATTTCTTCGGTTGAGAGGTATTTCTTCTGCGGCATTTTACAATATTTTTGAATAAAATTTCTGTTGCAACTCAAGAATCATCATCCACTTGAAGCTTATTTGTTTTTAATGCATCGCAAAAGCTTCTTCCTTCTGACGAATTATAAAACTGCGGAACTCTTCCCGCTCAGAGATGTGTCCTCTCGTATTTTTCGTACTGCGGCAGCTATCTATTACCGAAGCTTTTTTCTGCGTGGCGTGACTTAGCAATTGAAATGATTTTTAGCTTCGATTTTCGATTACAAGCAAGTGTTTCTAGTTTAATGTTGTCCAAAGAGCATTCCTTGCGACAAGAAATTCCCATCGGTCTCCTGCATGTTTCTCTCACTCAGTTCAAGCATGTAATAGTTCTAATTATCACAAGTTGTATAAATTAATTTACGTTACCGATGAAAGGCCAGTAGCATTTTCTCACACAGGCGAATCTGACGTAGTTGCCTTTGCATTAATAGTATCTCAATTAGACGGTTTAAAACCCCGTCCCGCTGAGCACCAACCATTAGCAAAAAGACCATTGCGCGACTTAATGCGCGATCTATTCCGAATGCAAAAATTACTGCAAGTTTTTAGCTCGTAGTTGCTTCGTGAAATCAGGACAACATGTTCAGGAAATTACTAACTTCGTTGAATATTAATCATGGGTGATCGACACACTATAAAATACATATGTCGATGATCATTTGCATGATCACAAAGACGATAATATTAAAACCGTTTTAGCACCTACGGTTTTTTTAGTGATATCCATTTTTTACTACGAAAAAAATATATTTGATTTACAAAGATTTATTTGTCAATTTTTTTGTAGTCTGCTGGACTATAGCGTATGCACGAAATTGTGTAATTTGGATGAGTTATATAATACTATTATTTGATTTATCCGCCGTGTTATAAGTGACGGTTCGTCACTGTAATTTTTGAAATAAGTCGCAAAAAGGCAGATAAAGTAACGCGTGTGATTCATACATAGATCGCTCTTCGTTTTCCAGCGAGTCGTCGACCCCTGACCACCTGGCATCTGGGCGCCACTTTTTCCCCGTCGGACAACCCTTTGGTGGAAACCGCCACCGCACGCAGGTACCGATGGACCAAAATAGGCCCCCTGCGTTTTCACCACCCCCGGGGGCTGAGCGCGCCCTCGCGAGGGGGCGAAACGCGAACAGGTGTGACCTCGCTGATGTGCCCCACTCCGCTCCTACAAGTCGGTCAACGCGCCATCGAGTCTGATGATGTCGAAAATCCACGAGCGGAAGATTTAGAAAGAAGGTATCGTTACGATTGTATATATTTTATCGTCATACCAATAATTCACGAACCTTTTGACATTAACTAACAATTCTCAAAATTTCACTCCAAATATGTTACTTAATATAATAAAAAAAAAAAGAAAAGGCGACATATAAC